TAGAGAGGAAAGTCGTTCAAATAGAATTTATCGACAACAGTGGGTTAAACTTCTTTATGACTGTGAATATATGAAAATCATATATGTCAAATGTCCTCATATATGATATTCCTATATTCACAGTCATTTGGTTATCCTCTCACGGGTTTACTACGAACCATCATAGAGACCAGTTTCAAGATGGCTTGTTATCGCAGAGATCATGCGTTCAAATCCCGTACAGGCCTAAATTTTTTTCAGACCTTATTTTCACTACTGCTTAAGTAGTGTTCACTACTGCGCATGCGAAGATCGCTTTGATATTCAAACCTCTTAATGTTCGTTCTAAACTGGAGCAATCAGTAAGTGATCAGTAATTGCCGGGAAGATGCACTTCTTGTAAAGTAACCGTGTTGCTCAGATATCAGAGTTGTTGAGAAATTACATGGTTTATTATCATTTACGTAATCATGAAGGAATAAACCACTGTATATGTTAACAATATCACGAAATTAATGAATTTTAAAAAGTCCAAGTCTATTGGCGTGATAGTTCATTTGGGCCTGCCACTATCAAAAATCATGCGACAGAAATCTCAAAAAGAAATTTAATTGTTAGATGTATTCTAATATCAAGATTTGTCATTATCTCGTACATCTATTACTAGAGTTACCCTTCGGGCTTAGCAAGTAATTGATCCGCTCTTTCTCAATGAATCTTATAACTGTTTATAATACGAGGCAACGACTTTGAATAAAAGAAGGCTTGAAACAACGTTTCAATTCATTTATTCAGACCAACCTTGCAGTTAAATCTGCTTACGTCCTGCAATAATCCTCCCATCGGGCCACCAGTAAGACTTGAATAGGTTTAGGCGGTTTATTGTCAAACATCATTGTCTGATCAGACAAATGAAGTGCCATTTGGTGACCAGCGTGGTGTTTGAATTTTTATAACAACAATGTCTGACCATACACCGATATCTAAACCTATTCAAGTCTTACAGGTGGCATGGGGCACCAGTGACAGGATCATTTCAGGACGTAAAAAGGCTTTACTGCAGGACTGGCTGCCTCTGAATGCATTGAGCAGTCTTTAGACGTCAATCTTAGACGAAGAGAACGAGACAGAATTACTCCGTTGCTATTAGTTTTTAGAATGAGTTTAGGAATAATCTGTTTCATGGTGACCATGGCGTACGCTGCTCTCTGAAAAAAAGGTACTATTTCTTTTCACTTTCATCAAAATATGATAGATTACAGAAAAACATGACCATGCAATTCCTTTCAAAGTTAACGTGCTTCCAATAACTTCTCTTTACTATGAGTCCGTATCAACCTTAATGCAGGATATCAATAATGGTAAAGCCCCAACAAACATGTTAAATTTATTTCAGAAAGCGTCTAATATCCACTCATACAATACACGATCTTCTACGTTTGGCAAGTCTTATGTTAAATATCCTAGACTTGAAATACAAAACAATTCATTTTCTCGGCTCCGAGTTAAACTGTGGAATGGGATACCAAGCTACATGACCAAACTCCCAAAGAAAGCTTTCAAAAAAGATCTCCGCAAATTGTTACTTGATATATTAGTAAAGGAGGATGAGTATATTGAAATCCCCGTGATTATTAAAAAAGTAGGATCATAGAAACGCATGCTGAGGGTCCCATTTTACGTCTGTTTTCCTTCTAAACCTCCATGTCTTTATACATTGTTCGTCGGTAAGTGCTGTGTTAATTTGATCTCCCAACTTCTGTGTTTTATTTATCTCTAGTTGCAATCTGCAAGGTTTTTTTTTTCTATTAACGTAGGTTTTTCCCTATTTATTATTCTTCTTCCATAACTGGTTATTTTAATCACGTTCTTGTTTTGTCACGCCGCGACTAGCTTCTTAGCTATTTGTGGGGCAAACCATTTTAATTATGTATTTTTGTGATAAGAATTTTCAATTATGTATGTCTGTAACCAGAATAAGAATAAAGTTTGTTGCTGTTGTTAAAACAAGGCTGAGTTGGGTTATTTTGGCTAGGATAAGTGAGCTTAAACTTTGGTTAGGCGTTCTTTTTATTGAAAGTCGCTGCCTAATATTATCAACAGTTATAAGGCCGAAGGGTAAGGCAAGCAATAGATGGACGAAACATTGACAAAACACGAGAAGGGGTTTTATTCAGTCCATAAATGTTTCTAATTTGTGTTTATCAATATCATTCGTGTTAACTGTTTATCGGTAGCATGCGTCATTCTGGGCTGTTTCGATACCAGTTGTTGACATTCGTCATTTTTTTGATGTTTTGTGGTCGAAAATTAATGAAAGTGCCTACAGCTATCTCCTAACGAAATACTTCAGTCTTTTACCGTTCAAGCTTCAAAGCTCATCTCTTTTAACATATTCGACCAACGGACCGGTCATTATTACTCGACTGGACGGGAAGAGAAGTTTAGGGGGATTACATGATTTTCAAGAGAACCGAGGTGCGGATCAGTCCTAATTGACAGGCACTAAAGAGGAGACCATGAAAAATGTTTCAAGCGGTAGGATCAATTTTTTTCAGCTTTCTTTCTTTTTCAGAAACGATTTAATAAGCTGAAAGGTGTTGACACAGAACGTTTCAAAGCTAGTTATATTAATAGACTGTATTTTAAGTATGCTTCCGCTTTTTAACCTTTAATTAATAATTGAAACATGTAAATATAGGTGTGTATTTTTACTTGTATCTTCAATAAAGATCTAAAGAAATAATCAATAGTTGTTTATGTATTAACCTTGATGCTTGAAATTTTTAAGTTATATAGTTTAAATGTCCACAAAGTTCCTTGTTTCGAGGTCTCTAGATTCCGCCATTTAGAGGCGTCCCCGGAATGGAAGCTTCGAGTGACGGTACGCCATTATATAAACAAAATCAACAGGAGTAATAAATGTTACGGGCTTTTCCTTCTGCGCCCTTGTTCTAAAATCTTAATATCTTCGATATTTACAACATTAATACTTTCCTTGTAGCTTGTTTAATGTATCCCTATCATAACAACCTCCTTCCTAATACTTTTGATACTCTTTTTTTCTATTCATCATCAGCTTCATGCGCACGAGGGCAGCAACTATCGTCCAACATTGTTATAATAACAGTTTACGATCTTGCACTAAGGCCCAAGGGTTCGGACCTTGGTGTAAGATTCCCCGCCCGTGATCTTACCCTACACCATACATTCTCCATGTATACTGAGACTTCGCTGAAAAAATTCCTCATTGCATTGGCAGAAAACTAAATTAAACTCACCCGTCTGTAAATAATTTGGATATATCAACAAAGTTGAAATGGTAAATTGGCCACCGTAATGATTACAAAAGCCGACGTTTCGAGCGTTAGCCCTTCGCTCCGACGAAGGGCTAACGCTCGAAACGTCAGCTTTTGTAATCATTACGGTGGCCAATTTACCATTTCAACTTTGTTGATATATCCAAATTATTTACAGACGGGTGAGTTTAATTTAGTTTTCTGCCAATGCAATGAGGAATTTTTTCAGCGAAGTCTCAGTATACATGGAGAATGTATGGTGTAGGGTAAGATCACGGGCGGGGAATCTTACACCAAGGTCCGAACCCTTGGGCCTTAGTGCAAGATCGTAAACTGTTATTATAACAATGTTGGACGATAGTTGCTGCCCTCGTGCGCATGAAGCTGATGATGAATAGAAAAAAAGAGTATCAAAAGTATTAGGAAGGAGGTTGTTATGATAGGGATACATTAAACAAGCTACAAGGAAAGTATTAATGTTGTAAATATCGAAGATATTAAGATTTTAGAACAAGGGCGCAGAAGGAAAAGCCCGTAACATTTATTACTCCTGTTGATTTTGTTTATATAATGGCGTACCGTCACTCGAAGCTTCCATTCCGGGGACGCCTCTAAATGGCGGAATCTAGAGACCTCGAAACAAGGAACTTTGTGGACATTTAAACTATATAACTTAAAAATTTCAAGCATCAAGGTTAATACATAAACAACTATTGATTATTTCTTTAGATCTTTATTGAAGATACAAGTAAAAATACACACCTATATTTACATGTTTCAATTATTAATTAAAGGTTAAAAAGCGGAAGCATACTTAAAATACAGTCTATTAATATAACTAGCTTTGAAACG